TATTTTGCGAGTCGGTTATTAGATGCTGCTCCAGCCAGCCAGAGACTCCCCCGCCGCCCCGCCCTCTCCTCCCTGTGCCGCAAGCAGCAGGCGCACCTCGCAAACGGAGGGCGCCCTTACTCCCAGAAAATGGGCGATAGAAAACCGATCGGTGCCTATGCCATTACCAATATGCGCTGGCTGATGTCGGGGCAGCATGAGTACGAGCATTTTTTTTATTTTTTTTTGCCGATGCCCGTGATGCCGCCCCCCACCACGATGCCGCCAGTATCAAAAACCGCTACTGCTTGTGGGGAAAGATGTATGGGGCTGAAATTGGCGCCCAGGCCCTGAGCAGGTGAGTTATGTTGGATGACGATTTAGCGACGCTTTATTGGTATCATCAAATTAATTATTCTTGTTTTTACATGCCTTGTTATTTACCGCATGATAACAGGATATTTCTTTTGTTTGTTTTCGTTTTGTTTTTATTAATCTGGCACAGAAAACAACTTAATGCAATCGAAATAAAAGAAAAAGTAAAATTGAGACTCTTTATTTCAGGCTTCTCATTGCGTATCAGTGGACTCAGAGACACTTCCAACTCTTTGGCAACCTGTCCACCAATGCTGCCATTATGTGAAACCACAAACTAGCCAAGCACGGAAGGACTGTGATGGTTGGTCTGGAAAATGCTGTGAAGAACAACATTAAGCAGACCTACGCCAAAACTGAGCGTTATGCACTCTGAGTAGCTCCGTGTTGATCCTGACAACTTCAGGGTATGTGATCTGAGACTTTTTCCACCAGTGATAATGATGAAGCATGCCATTATTATTGTTTCCCTTTCATTTTAGGTGCTTTCTGAAATTGTCGCTTTTTGTGTGGCCTCCAAGTTTGGACCTCAAGTCTTCGCCCCTGATGTCCAGATGACCTGGCAGACATTCCTCGCTGTGGTCGTCTCTGCCCTGGGCAAACAGTACCACTGAACTTGTGGAATTATAGTTCATATTCATAACCAAATAATTTACAGCAGTGCTTCCGCTTAGCGCTTCGAAGCTGATGAATGTGACAAATAAATTTCCAGTTAAATAAAATTCTCTTTGTGTGATCATTTTTAATTGCATTTTGTTTTTCTACTCAAGCCTTCCAAGAGCAGATTTTTACAAGGGATTGTGCACTTATACTGAAAATGTTCATGATAGTAATAATAATAATAGTAATAATAATAATAGAAATATTAACAAGGGTGGTGTCATTTCTTTTTAACTCAGCCAGTAAGTTGTAGTTAGAATTATCCATGTTGTATTATCTGAAATTAAAACCTCCTAAGCTCATTCTTATAAAAGCGTCTATATTTTACTTCTTATCTTTGCAAAGGGTGACGCTGCCGGTTTCTATTTTGTCCGTTTCAAAATGAACACAACTGTATGTTCATTTCTGATTGAATTTTCTCTTTTCCTATGCTCCCACACCCCCTTCTGTCACTACAATATTATTATTTTAATTTCTTAACACACCCCTGCAATTATGTCAAAAGTGAATAGTGTAGGGATGCAGACAAAGAAGAAAGGACCAGCTTCCAGTGTTTATTATATTTATTAACGGAGCCCTGCCATTTTAAGAGGTTTTATTGACATTACTGTAGATGACAGGCTTCAGGGGCTCCGGAGTTGCCGGATTTTAGCGGTATTTCTCGGACAGAGCGAGAGCCAAGTTCTGGAGGAACTTGTCAACGGAGAGGTGGACTTCGGGAGTGAAGTCTGCGGGGAAGAACATGCCCATGCACAAGATGAGGTTGTGAGCAAGGATCTGTGAGGCAAAAAACACATGCATATGTTAGGTCGAAAAGTCTATATTGCCTCTTGACTAATGGTAATCTCTGTCTACAACGTGATCATTGTTGCGTGGATGTTACTGGGTGAGCTCACCCTGAAGTTGGCAGGGTCCACTCTGAGCTTGAAAGCGTGGAGCTCGCTGAGGGCAGACAGACTTCCAGTAAGGTCGTCAATCTTTGACACAGCGTCTCCAATGGCCGCCATGATGGTGGCACCATGCTTTTTCACCTGCGCAGAGCTTGGACTCAGATCGGACCAGTGAGCAAAGTAGGTCTTGGTCTGGGGATAAGCAGTCAGCATCCTGTAAAATATATATTCAAATGATGGAAATATGAATAAGTACTTACTAATTAATTAAAACTATGAATGAATAAAAAATGAAAAGAAAAGGGCAAAATACAACCTCCCCAGAGCCTCTCCTCCAATCTCAGCTGACTTCGGGGCCACTTTGGCCCAGAAGTTCTTCACCACGGTCTTGTCCTTTCCAGAGAGACTCATGTCGGCGTTTTCTTCAGTTGTCTTCTGAACTGAAAGTGTTGACTATTTGTCACTATCATTTTTATATAACACCAAAATGGACCACACCCAGCATCACATTTAAACCACACCTCTGCGATAAAGAAAAAAATCCAGCACTTTCCGAGGTATTTCTTGAGATAAAAGTTAACGCCCCTCCTTGTTTTTAAGATATGACTTATTTTGTTGGGGAAGAAACTAATATATTTATCCCTTAAAGAAATTATTAAATAGCAAGAGGTTGTTGAAAAAGCAATGTGATATTTTATAAATTAACGTCCGAAGTGTAAAATATGAAACAAGTGGCAAATAATCTCTCGCTGCCAAACGCTCGTTTGGTCTCAAGAGAGAATTAGAGAATTAGATGACAACATAAGCACTCACAGAATGACACCACATAATCAAAAATTAAGATATGTTTTACCAAAATCTTGGTAAGTAATCATATCCGAGGCATGATGTGAGATATAAAAGGATGACTGGTTGTTGCGCTTCATGTGGGACTGCACAGCACCTTTATCCTTTGTATCCTATTTATTAGAGGTTGGAGAATTGTTCTCAAATAAAATAGGCTACATTTCTTTACTAGAGATGTGTGTTGT